GGATGATTTCCCTTACAGGCACTGGCTCAATTTAATTTTGCTACTTGTGTTAGGGAGTCAAGAATCCTTACCCAGCCTATACATAAACTTAGCACTTGAGGAAATGTCAACTTACTTTCAAAAAGTGGTTTACAATAAAAAAAAGTGTCAATTTTATACAGATAGACACTGATGGCCAGTTTGGAAGTCTGGCTACCAGAGAAAACAAGAAATCAATGGCAATGTTTTTAACCTAGTGATTTTCAGGACTCTGTTACAAAATTGAACTGTTCCAGAAGTAACCCATGGCAAGGATTCCAGTGTGACTATGGCATATTATAAACATATTAAGCAAATAGTTGACAGCATATGTGTGTTTTTCTCTAACTACAAAAAAAAAGGAAATATCAACACTTTTTCCATACAATTAAACTCCATGTCAAAAGTTTTCACTTGTTTAGGGAACTGGAAGCGTGCTACTATCTCGAAATATCCAGAAGTGACTAATCTTACAAGATTTTTACATAAATAAGGAGGAAAATATTCTTTACTCTATCATTTTTCCAAGAAATAAAACTTTACTTCTGGTGTTTGTTATGATCCACTATATTTGTGATGAAAAGATAATTGCCCTAAACAATTCACTCTTCATCTCTTCACTATTGTTGCCTGACCTGCTGAGCATTTCAAACTTAAATTCAGATTTCCTGCATCAGCAGTATTTGGCATTTGTCAAGAGGAGGTGCTGGATGTCTTAAAACGCACAAAGGTGGATAAATCCCCAGGATTGGATCAGGTCTACCCTAGAACTTTGTGGGAAGCTAGGGAAGTGATTGCTGGGCCTCTTGCTGAGATATTTGTACCATTGACAGCCACAGGCATAATGCCTGAAAGACTGGAGGTTGGCTAATGTGATGCATTATTTAAGAAAGGTGGTAAAGAAAAGCTGGGGAACTACAGACTGGCAAGCCTGGTGTCAATGGTGGGCAAGTTGTTGCAGGGGATTCTGATGGACAGGATTTTACATGTATTTGGAAAAGCAAACACTGATTAGAGTCAACATTGCTTTGTGCTTGGGAAATCATGTCTCACTGACTCGATTGTGTATTTTTTAAATCGATGTGGGCAGAGCGGCGGATGCTGTCTACATAGATTTCAGTAATACATTCGACAAGGTTCTGCATGGTAGACTGGTTAACAAGGTTAGATCAAAGGAATACAGGGAGAACTATCCATCTGGATCCAAAATTGGCTTGAAGGTAGGAGACAGAGGGTGATGGTGGAGGGTTGCTTTTCAGACTGCAGGCCTCTGATGTGCAGTGTGCCGCAAGAATTGGCGTTGGATTCACTACTTGTGTCATTTATATAATCAATCTGGATGTCAATATAGGAGGTATTCTTAGTAAGTTTGCAGATGACACCACAATTGGTGGCATAGTAGACAGTGAAGAAAGTTACCCAACTACAACAGGACTTTGATCAGATGTGCAAAGGAGTAGCAGATGGAGTTTAATCTAGATAAATATGAGGTGCTATATTTTGGAAAGGCAAATCAGGGTAGGACTTATACACTTAAATGGCAAGGTCCTGGGGAAGTGTTGCTGAACAAAGAGACCTTGGGGTGCAGGTTCATAGTTCTTGAAAGTGGAGTTGCAGGTAGATAGGTTAGTGAAGGCAGCATTTGGTATGCTTGCATTTATTGGTCAGTGCATGGAGTATTGGAGTTGGGAAGGTTAAGCTGCAGCTGTACAAGACAATGGTTAGGCCCGTTTTGGAATATTGTGTTCAATTCTGGTCTCCCTGCTATAGGAAAGGCATTGTTAAACATGAAAGGAGTTCAGAAAAGATTTACAAGAATGTTGCTAGGGTTGGAGTGTTTGAGCTATAGGAAGAGGCTGAATGGGCTGAGACTATTTTCTTTGGAGCATCAGGAAGCTGAAGGATGACCTTATAGATGTTTGTAAAATCATGAGGGCTACGGATAGGGTGAACAGTCAAGGTCTTTTCCCTTAGCCAGCGGAGTCCAAAACTACAGGACATAGGTTTAAGGGGAAAGGGGAAAATATTTTTTTAAAAAAAAAGGGACGTAAGGGGCAACTTTTTCATTCAGAGGGTAGTGCATGTGTGGAATAAGTTGCCAGAGGAAGTGGTGGACGCTGCTACAATTACAACATTTAAAAGGCATCCAGATGGTCTATGAATAGGAAGGGTTTAAGAGGGATATGGGCCAAATGCTGGTAAATAGGACTTTATTAAATTTAAGACATCTGGACAGCATGGACAAGTTGGACCAAAGGGTCTGTTTTCATACTGTATGTTTCTATGCCTCTATGACTGAATAAAATGGGCATCTAAAACAATTTAGTACCTTTGTTTTAGAAAGCTAAAAACACCGTATGCATTATCCTCATGAATGGTCAAGTGCAGCATTGGTCCTTGATAATAAATGTGAAATACAGAACTTGGTTTGAACTGTACACAACTCATGTCAAATTTTAGTGTAAAAGCAGTTTAGTCCTTTCAATAAACTTTGTGCGAACTTATTTATTTGTAAGTGTAAGTGTAAGTTGAAACTGAAGGAAAAAAAGGATGGGGAAGCAATTACACTCCTAAAACAGATTGAAAGACAGATAAACAGTTCAAGAACTGAGAAGTGTAACTGAAGTGCGTGAATTCAAAGTTTAAAGTCCGGTACAAAAGGAGGAGGATGTGGGCAACATTGGTTTGGAGTGAACAAAAGACAATTTTTTGTTTCTAAATCTACAAGACCTACTTTAAATGAAATGAACTTCAGATGCTAAGTGGTGGATTAGCAATAATTAACACTTCAATGATTAAGAAGGACACAGACTTGAATGTACAAAATTCTATGGAAACTTCAGGTCGTTTAATAAACTTTAGTGGTGAATGTGTTTTCGCAAACTGCATGTTTGATACACCAATTACATATCTTCCCCCTCCCCTGAAACTGCGATACGATTTAGGCAATAAATAGTAAAAGCATCATTAGCTGAGGTTTACTATGACAATTTCTAGCCCTGAAGCACTAACCATTCACATTCGTTAGCCATTTTAAAAGTGTCCCAAAACCCTACTTCCCGGCCTCGATGCCTGCACAAATAACTCACTACGGAAATAATCTTGGTCACGGTCGGCGTTTGGTAATATGAATTCACTACATTCGGACTGGTTAAATCTCTTGCAATTATGCCGATTTTTAAAAATAAACATTCAGCATATAGCGATGTTAATTAACCCCATTGTTGGTGGTAGACGGGACAAATATGCCACATAAACGTGCGCGAATTACACAGTACAAATTATTTGACATCCATTGTTTACGTGTTACACAACTATTTCAAACACGGTTCTTCAAACGCAAGATGCATTTCACTGCCCTAAAAATAATTCACTTGGAAACCAAATCCTGATCAAAACAAAACTGCTAAATAAAAGCGAATTACATCTGCGTCTTCTTGCTGCAAGAACAACATTTGCCAGGTGCCCATATAATGTGCGAACACTCCCTTTTACTAGTTGCTCCCTGCTGCAGTTTCCATCAGATTGCCTGCAACGCCTCGTCTGGTGCAGGAATGAACTGTCTTTTTCCTCGCAGTGTTATTTACATAATCCTTATACATCGATCTCCAACAGACTTTTACCACCAGCCGCCCGACAGCGAAACTCAACCTGTATAATATTCAGTCAATACAAAACAAGAGGATAATCGAAAATAAAAGGATCACATTTTCGAGCAGCTCATTGCCTAACCCCCATAAGAACGTTGTTTACGGTTACTTGGTAGTCTCAGAAAAAGGAAAAAAAAACGTTAGCTCAAGGAAGAATTTGCAAAAATGTAAGCAGGTTGCATTTCTGTTGGCGCGCAGTTTTTGCGGGCATTAAAGATTCATATCAACTGAAAATGTATCATAAAACATACTTACTTTAAAAACCTTTATGAACAAAAACAGTATCAATAAAATGAATTCGTATACATTAGTATAAGCAAAGTCCAAGTCAAGTGAACTAGGACAGAGACAAAAACAAAATTATAACATCTTGCTCAAACGTCTAGATGGAAGAAACTGAATTAGCGTGTCCCAAAATAAGAAACTGTACAAAATGAGGAGAAAGTAGGAAGGGAGGCACAAGGCAGGCACATTAGGGAAAATGAAAAATGTTGCTGTCAGTACAGCGAGGATGTGTCATCCATATGAATGCGAGTCCGAGTCCGAACATAGAGTTAAAGCAAAAACAAAACAAAATCTAATCATCTAAAGACTACGAATTTCCGTCATCGAGGATGACTGTGATCCATTAATCATTCTTCAATCAGCAAAAAAAAGTGCATTATAATCAGAAGGATTAGTTTATTTTGGACGCCTGAAAGCGAAATACCCACTTTAAAGAGTGATCGTGATTTATTAAAACTAAGTACGAGCGCCTAATTTTTTTAACAATCATGTTGATGGAAAGAGCTTAGAAAAAAGACCCAAGAACGAGAACGAATGAGATGGCGGTTTAATGTCATTGCTAAACGGAAAAGTACTCAAAACAAAGCAAATAAAGGAGTCAACATGTTTTATTACTGTGAAAGCTCATTAAATATTACATCAACCAGTCTAGAGTAATAAATCCTGCAGGATTCTGACAAACTACCATGATCGAGGGACAAGCAAACTGTGTACCGAGGCCCGGATAGATCACAACAGAAAACGAAAAACATACAATCCACTTTCAAATGGAATTTAACAAAAAAAAACAAAAGAAAATGAATTCTCTTAAAGCCACGACGCTGTCCAGTCAGCAAGCCTAGGTTTTGGAGGCTGAGCTGGCAACATTCTAACCGAAAGAAAGCGCACAGCCACCTGCCATCGCCGGCTGAGACGCTCACAAACACCAACCGGGGGTGGGGGAAAAGAGCGAGAGAGAGAGAGAGAGAGAGAACGATTTCAGGAAAAAAAAAACAAAATCCAAATCATTGACCCTATAAAACAAATGCATTTACACTCTTCACTCACCGTTTGCGACGGCGAAGAGGACGAGCGCTATGGTCCCACAGTAGCGTGCAATACACATTTTGACTTTATTTGAAAACATGTTCCGCGATAATCGTCTACCATGGACAGTAGTTACATTTTCCCTTCTGCTTTGAAAAGCCACGCGTGTTAGAAGTTGGCGGTCATTTTTGTTTGCCTTTCCACTAATTTTGTTCTCTTCCTCCACACCCACATAGACAAACTTGCCGCGGTGACCCGGTCTCTTGGATTAATCCCAGTTGTTTGGGCGGTTTGCGGCCGCCACGAGCCGCTTTCCCCAGGTGGCGCCCGCAGCAGCCACGCGGAGGACCAACGGCTCCCAAGGCAACAAGCAGCGCGAGACAGTCACCGCAGCCGGAGCCCAACGGCTGCACGGAGCGGCGCGCGAGCGAGTCGTATTCAAAGCCCAAGCTCCATATACATCACCGCGGCTTGCACGGCGCAGCACCGTGGGCAGATGGGACCACTGTGGACCGTGGCTCCACCGGACTGATGGGGCACGGAAACAGCTCTGAAAGCTGCCACCAGCAGAGCCTTCCTTTTTAAACACACACCGTCCAAAAAAAACGTCAGGCTACGAATTACTTCACGTCCCCAATCGCAGAGAACTCGAAAAGGGAACTTTCCCTTCAGACACTTGGGGCTCTGAGTTTCTGTCCAGAAGAATCTCCCACAAAGGCATTCGTTACGGGATTCGAGAGCGTCCACTAAAGGTATTTTGTAGGCGTAGATAGAGTTCCATGTTAATGGCAGCGGCGCCGATTCATTGGAACTTCTCCGTTGTTACTCCGATGCATATCGCTCACAGTGTCCCACACAGCAACCTCGGCAACAGCCGCTGCCGCGAACAGAAACAAATGAATGAAACTCCCTCCTCCCCCGATCACATGGGCTGCAGCAGCGCCCCGCATCTTCTTGAAGCCGCTAGCACTGTCACATGTAGTAAGTGACCTCGAAGATGTAACAACCACTATGGTCAAATTCCTCCAGACATACTTTAATTCTTAAAAAAATAAAACCCAAACCTACTGGCGCTGTTCGGCGGTCACAATATGACTGAGTTAAGAAAAATAAAAATGCAATGTTGTCACCCCTTTCGTACTGGGATCAGTAAGTAGTGCTGCTAAAGTTTAGTTAAGATTGTGACACAGAGTACCAAGAAGTTTACCCAATTGGCAAACTGGAATTAACCAGTCAGACGGTGAAAGAGCAGCCATTTGGTCAGTTTTTGAGAGAGCTGTGCACACCCCAGCTATTTTCCTCATAACCTTCGAAGAAGTGCTCAAGTAGATGTCTGATTGACTTTTAAAAATTAAACCCACCTTTCAAATATTAAAAACCGCGAAGTGGAGACGTTTCACTTTATAACTTTAGTTCTTCCCCAACTTATTTTTACACCGAAACTTCAAGGTACTTATTCAATTACCAGAGGAAACCATTTCTCTCTACTTGGTACCTTCAAGAATTTCTTAAGTTTTGCTTGCAGGAGAATGATCATGGCTTCTTCAGTCTCACTAGAGTCCTTCATTCTTTCGATCATCCTCAAAAGGTCTTTATTTGTATCATCTCCAAACCATCTTAAAGTGTGTTACCATACTTATTTCTCTTGATGACTAACCAGAGATTTGTAGACTTATCACGTGTTCTAAATTTGCATGCATCTATTTACAAAGCCAAGTATCCTATATGCTTTCTTGTCTTATGAATTTGTCCCACGACATTCAAAGATTTGAGAATATGCTTTCTCTCCACAATCGGTTGGATCTTGTATTCACCTCAAAATAGTTAGACCGTTTGGAGATTGTTATCGTGGTCCATTGCTTGTCTCAAAATGGATTATTTCACACTCATTTACATTAAATTTCATTTGTTCTGCCGATTTCATCAGTCCTATTGAAACCTGATACCATCTCATTTATAACTTACAACACGGATAAGTTTTGTATCATCTGCAAACTTAAAGATTTCTCTGCCTATGTCCAAATCTAGCTCAGTCACGTGCTGGGCTGGGGCAACACAATGGTTCTAATACTCTAAGGAACATCAATGCATACTTGTCTCGAGTCGAAATAAGACATGGGTTCACCACTACTTCCTGCCTTTTACTCATTAGCCAATTACAAGTCTAAATTGCCATCACTCTTAAATATCATGTGCTTCTATTTCTGCTTTAGCCTGTTACTCATTACTTTAACAAGGGCCTTTTGAAAAAGGAACTAGAAAACCCTCTGATGAAGGAACAAAGAACTCAATTAGTTAGTCAGAAGTCACCTGTCTTGCTGGTTGTCCCTCATGAACCAATGCTTCTACAAGCGAAAACAATTTTTTTTTATTTGACAATAATTTCCAGATTTTCTTGCAAATACATTACTCTGACTGGCTTGTTGTTGCTAGCTTTATCATTCCCCTTTTAAATAGGGTTACAAAAGTGGGACTTTACAAGACAAGTTTTGAAGTGTCACTTTAAGGTGAAGCAACATTTGCTGAGTAAGGGCATGGTAAGTATTCCAAACTTCCGCCCAGAGACAAACCAATCTGCTCGGGTTGTCGGGGGAAAGCAACCCAAACAAAATCTGAAAGAAAATCAAGTGAAAGCTTTCACATCATAACACAGAGAGATCATTGTTTTTGGATACTGAGGAAGAGAAAGAATGGAATTACTTTTGCGTAGCAAAGCAATATCAACTGCCAAGAACAGCAGTTAGACCTGTTTTGTTTTGTTAACAGCTAAGTAGAATGCTTGGGAGGAAAAGGAATAAGACTAATGGGACTTGTGGAAATTTCCTATCCGCCATCTACGAGGCACAAGACATAAATGAAATGTAATACTCTCCATTTGACTTATTGAGTGCAGCGCCTACAGCGTTCAAAAAGCTGGATGCCATCTAGTAACAAGCAGCCTTCTTGATTGGCACCCTATGCACCACCTTCAAAATTCACTCCCTTCACTACCAAACAATGTGTACTATCTGCAACGTGCACTGCAGTAACTCACCAAGTCTCCTTCAATGGCACTGTCACAACCAGTGACCTCTACCACCTAGAAAGACAAAGGCAGCAGATACATGGGAACTCATCTAAAAGTTTCCCATAAAAGCCACACACATATCATACAGTACTGTGACCAGTAGATTCTCCAATATTACATGTCCCTACACCCTAAACACCCCAAGGACTGCAACAGTTCAAGAAGGCAGCTCATCATCGACTTCTGGGCTATTAGGAATGGGCAATAAATGCTGGCCTAGTTAATGACATCCACATCTATGAAGAAGTGAAAGAGAAAAAAATAAGGAACAAGGTGGGTCTTGCTGCTGAAGGTCAGTACTGGAATACTCCAACTGAGAGGAATGATTTTTCAAAGTCATCAGAATCAATTTGGTAATGTTGGATTGACCTTACTGGAAGCTGATCATATTGCTATCCAGAAGTGCTTCACTCAGGAAACAAAAGAAGCTGGAAGAAGAATCTCAATGTGCTAACTAGTTATTTAGTACTCATTGCCTGTTACTTAATGTTCAATCTATGTTAGTTTTAGTTTGGTAGCTACAGTAAAGGTCTTAAAATGGGAAACCTTGTACTTTGGTAAGTCAGGATAATGTGTGGCTTGGAAGGGAATTTACATATTGTAAGGTTCCCATCAATCTACTACTCTTGTAGTAGAAGGCATAGGCTTGGAAGCTGCTGTTAAAAGGATGCTGCAAGTCAGCACAGTGCATCTTTTATATGGTACACACTACTGTCACTATGCATTCATAGCACAGTGTGTGTACTTTTAAGGTCGTGAATGGAATACAGATCAAACGGAACTGCTTTGCCTTAAATGATGTTGAGCTTTTGAATGTTCATGGAGCTACAGTCATCCAGGAAAACAGTGAATACTCCATCACACATTTGGCTTGTGCTTGCAGAAAATGGTCAAGCTTTGGCAAGTCAGAAGTTGAGTTACTGCAGAATTCCCAGCTTCACCTGCCCTTGTAGCAGTAATTTTCTGGCTAATATAATCATCTAATCATTTTCTGATCAATGGTAACCACTAGGATGTTAATATTACAGAATCCAGCATTGTAAAGACATTCCTTGACTCATTGGCACATCTGATCAAGATCCCGTTATACTCTAAGATAACTTTCTTCTCTGTCCACTACACCCATTTTGGTGTCATCTGTAAACTTACTAGCTATACTTCCTATATTCACATCAAAATCATTTTTATAATTAGCGAAAAGCAGTGGGCCCAACACCGATCCTTGTGGCACACTGCTGGTAACAGGACTCCAGTCCAAAAAACTATCCTCTGCCACCACCCTCTGACTCCTACCTTAAAGCCAATTTTGTATCCAACTGACTAGCTCCCCTGGATTCCTTGTATCTAACCTTGTTAACCAGTCTTCCATGTGGAATCTTGTAAAATGCCTTGCTGAAGTCCATATAGACAAGATCTGCCACTTTGGCTTCATCAATCTTCTTTGTCACTTCTTCAAAAAGCTCAATCAAATTAGTGAGACACAAATTCCCATGCACAATGCCATGCTGACTATTCCTGACCAGTACTTGCCTTTCCAAATGTATGTAAATTCTGACAATCAGAATCCCCTCCACCAACTGGGAAGGTGATGGCCTAGTGGTGTTATCACTGGAATGTTGACCCAGATAACATTCTGGGGACCTGGGTTCAAATCCCACCTCGGCACATGGTGGAATTTGAATTAAATAAATATCTGGAATTAAGAATCTAACGATGACCATGAGTCCATTGTTGATTGTCGGAAAAACCCATATGGTTCACTAATGACCTTTAGGGAAGGAAACTGCCATCTTTACCTGGTCTGGCCTACATGTGACTCCAGACCTACAGCAATGTGGTTAACTCTTAACAGCCCTCTGAGCAATTAGGAATGGATAATAAATGCTGACCTAGCCAGTGATGCCTCATCCCATGAATGAATAAAGGAAAAAAAAACTTAACCTCCAGTGACATCAGGTTCAACAATCTGGCTTTTCCTTACATTCTTTCTTAAATAATGGCACCACATTAGCCACCCTCCAGTCTTCTGGTACCTCACCCTGGGCTATCGATGATACAAACATCTCAGCAAGTGGCCCAGCAACCTCTTCCCTAACTTCCCACAAAGGGATACATGAAAGTCCTAGGATATACCCGATCATCTCCCAGAGATTTATTCACCTTTTGCGTTTTAAGTTATTCAGCACCTCCTGTTCTGTAATATGGACACTTTTCAAGATATCACTTTATTTCCCCAAGCTCTCTAGCTTCCATGTCCTTTTCTAACATAAATACTGGTGCAAAATAACTCATTTAGTATGTCACCCATCTCCTGTTGTTCCACACATAGATGGTCTTGTTGATCTTTAAAGGGACCTATTCTCTCCCTAGTTACTCTTTTGCACTTAATGTATTTGTAGATTCTCTTTGTATTCTCCTCA